ACATTGCATCTCACTGTGTGTGATGCATGTGAGACAGATAGCGGCACCAGCTTCCTAAACAAAGGGTATGTCACATTCACTCTCAGGGCCGCTGCTCTGTGTAAACTGCCTGTCTTTGTTTGTTCCAGATATTTGGCATTATCCCGAACCCAATTCTCACATTCCTCTACCCCTAGACACAAAGTTGAGTGTTACTCAACTTTGTGTCTGATGTTGCCGGTCAAAAATGACGCATGGGAAATTAATGAGTAACAAACATTATGTTCATCAGATAGGACACACACACAAATCGATTACAACATTTTAGGAAAAATGTTCAGTGTCTGGTCTTTGTATATGTTTTGTTTGTAGTTAAATTAACACCACGGGGGGGGGGGGGTAAAAGGAAACCAAGCTGGGAGGACAGTGTAACTACTGGGTGTTGTTACACACAATGTTTCTGACTCTTGAGTTTGCAGGACTTCTCGTCACTCGTGTGTTTGATGCGTGCAGTTATTGATGAGTAAATGACAGGGAAAATAATAACACATTTAGATGGAAAAACGATTAAAAAAAATACAGATTACGGTTTCTAGAGTCCCGACTATTTTATTCAATGAAGGCGAAAAGACAGACATAACAACATAAACAGATAAGTGAAAAAGAGGAAGCTGGATATTAATGAGTCAGAATAAAGGTTCACATACGATAGGCATTTGCAGCCCATGTAGTGACCTATGTTTTTATTTTGGTAGATTGACGGAAGTGATAACCAATAACAATTAAACGTGGTGTAAACAAATTAAGATAATCAAAATAATGAACAATAGCTTAACGAGACTTTTGGCTTTTGGGTGTGTGTGTAATTCCCGGCACCTGCTTCCTAAGAAATACATGTTAATACCAGACTATATATAAAGGTTAATACACGAGAACACCGCGATAATGTTGGCTCTTCCTCCGTAATGTAGCCTCTTCCTTCAGCTTCATATCCAGAAAGCTTGGAATGTGTTTAAATGTGTGTTTAAATGTCAAATCAAAGATATATTCTGCACATCTTCAGAATTCATTGTCAGCTTTATTTTAGGTCTAGCTCAAAAAAGTAATGTATATTGTTTTGTCTTCATGTGTTGCTTGGTGGTGTAACCCCCCTTTCTGTTTCTGGGTGATGCGAAGTCTAAGATTTGAGGTCTATCTTTTTTTCCCTCAGGTGTCCTCAGGTGACATGCCGAGTCATGTGATTTCGTTGGTATATGTATGTCTTGTTATGGTATGGCCCATTGTCATTACTCAGTCATGAGTCATTGTTAGGACTACTCCGCAACGATCTCAAACACATCAAGATGTTGAAATTTGACACATGGACGGATCATATGACGCCCCGCTCCTATTGACGTAAACAGGAAGAATAAAACTTTGAGCAGCGTCTGGATTCATTCTGGGTGTTTTGACGGAACGTGAAGTTAGTTTCAGACGCTCGATATATCCATTTAATCTCAAAAGCCTCATAGATCTACAGGAATTCAGTTTAGATGTGTTTTCTCGCCATGCCTCTTCCTCTGCTCCTGGTTTCTGCCCTGGTTTTTTGCACAGGTATGTATCGCAGTTTGTATATGAATGCTTTAGTGAGCGTGACTGCATGGTGTAATGAGGGGATATGAAATCCGTTGAATTTCTTCCCCCCGTACATGCAGTTAAATAACGTCGAATCACTAAAGAAGTGGGGTCTTTCGTAGTGTGCGGCTGCCGCGAGGCAACACCGATCCCCGGGTGTCTGGTGTGTGTCTGCGTGCCGTGTTCCGGTGGTGAGCCTTAAGCTAGAACTCCAGCCGTGTGTTAAACCGTGTTTAGAGGGTTTCACTTGGTTTCTCAGCCCAGCGGGGGTTCCCGGTGTCTCCTGGATGTGCGTCCTCTCCATTTTATGTATGGTGGTTTAATAATAACGATTGACTATGTTGTAGGCTATATATCTGTCTCTGTGGTTATTTGACTTTTTTTTCATTTGCTTCAGTGTATTTTTAAGTAGGCTACTTAATAATATGGTCTTTAATAGCCTACTCTGTTAGTACAAGTATAACCATTAAAATATATTTAAAGTACCAACATTAAAAGTACTTGTTATGCATTATTTAATTTCGTTTTTTATTCTGTTTTTATACATGAGCGTTTTAGTATAGTAGTTTGTCAATGTTGACAAATGACTGAGTGCTATGTAGTGGAGTTAAAAGTACAATATTTGCCTATGAAATGTAGTGAAGAAGTCAAAATTAGCATTACATGGACATTTAAAAAGTAAAAACGTGTCAAAAAAGTACAATACAATATAGTAAATGTTAGTAGGCCTACTTTCTATCACTGATGTCATGTGACCCAATGACTCAAAATCAATGCAGAGTTGTATACATTTTGCCATATGTACTTCACCAGCACTGCTTTTATCATTTTACACTTTATTTTAGGAGAAGCCTTGGGTGACAATGTGTCGCTGAAGATCCAAGCCATTGCTGGAGAAACGGTGATTCTGCCCTGCACCGTCAGTGTAAAGGTTGACGCTGTCATCCCATCAGTGGAGTGGTCCAAGGAGCATCTGTACCCCACCATCGCCTTCCTGTATCGAGATGGCTGTGAGACCTTCGAGGAGAAGAAACAGACCTTCCAATACAGGACAAACCTCTTCCTGAAGGAACTGAAGAGTGGAAACGCATCGCTGAGGCTTTCCAACGCGCAGCTGTCGGATGCAGGGACATACAAATGCAAGACGATTGAGAAAGGAAAACGACCCCTGGAAGTGGGTTCCATAGAGCTGTTTGTGGGTGAGTCCAGACATTTTATATCAAAAAAGGTGGAGCCTATATCTGATGTTCTTTGGAAGAAGGGTGAGGTTCAGGTGCGGCTGGTGGAAAATATTATAGGTGGGGCTGTGGAAATGGTGACCAAAAAATACTAGGGGGGTCAGGAGGGATGCTCCCCCGGTAAAAAAAAATTGAGAAAAGACCCCTTAAATTATGACTTCTGGTGATGTTAGAGGGGGGGGGGAAGGACAAATTGAGGCTTAAAAATATGAGAAGACTAATCAATACCATAATATTCAGTGTGGTTAGCTATGAATCTTCCAAAACTTCCAAATACCTTGTCCTGGACATAGTTGCTACAGTATAAAGTCCAAACAACGCCCCTGTCACCATCCGATTTGACGACGCTGATTGGCTGAAATTATTTTTCGACGGTATAGTTTAAAGATCGCAACAGTTGGCTTCTGCTGCACTTGCTGCACTCTCGTCTGGGTGCTGTGACGAGAGAGGGTAATGATACACGGGCAAGGTCAGGCAGGAAACATGTGACTTATCAGTAACGTTAGACATCGTAACACAATTTTAAACGAGATTTTATTGTAGATTATACATTTTACTGATACCAATTATATAATATTTACCTTGTTTATTAAAAATAAAAAAATATTTTAAAAATATATATATTTTTAATGTGGGAAGAGGGGGGGCGGCGCCCCTATGGGCCGGCCGCCACTGGTGAGGTTTCTGAAACCCTAACCCAACTCCAAAAGTACCATATGACGTCCTATTGGATCTCAAACCCAATTCCCTCATTTTTCGACGGGAGTTTAAATATGTCGATCAGGAGAAAAAGGGAGATAATCTAATGTCCCGGCCACACGAGGACGAAAACGGCTAAACGCATAGGATTAATGCAAACGCAATCGCAAAAAAGCTTCCGTCCACACGCAATAGTCATCCGGATAGTGTCTGTCCACACGAGACCGCTCCGTTTAGCTCCAACCGCTGGAGAAGCTGCAGTACATATGCAGGAGCCTGTACGTGGCGCTGTAACTTCCTCCACAAAAGCAGCGAAGAAGCATGGTTGTCATGGTTGCCCTTCTGTTTATTCTCCGCGGTGGGGGCCGAGGGAACCGGGCAGAGTTTTTCGCCAGTCAACGTGTATTAAAGTTTAAATCTTCCGACAAAATTATAAAAGGTCTTCTTTGTTATTTATTGAGCTTTAAAACAAATTAATAATTACTCTATATAATATAATAATATAAATACACGGAGCCTCTCTTTTTCCTCCCTCTCTTCGGACAGCGCCAGTGTCTGTTTCATGCAGCAGCTGATCCAGTAATGAGTGACCCGGCCGACAGTAAAAATAAACATATTTATAACTAGTGTAGGTAGTTTGAGAGGTGTCTCCGTCCTGTCAGATTAGACTTCACTCGCGTTTATGTCCATATCGAGAGAAAGATAAATAATCTGAATTCAGTGTGCAGTTTACTTTGACGCGGGGGTGAGCAGCAGAGGTGGGGAGAGGCGGGGCTATTGCCTCATCATTATCAGAAAATGATCGTATAGGGCGTACACACGGAGCCGTTGGACCCCCCAGAGCGTTGCGTATGCCGTTCTATCCACCTTGGGACCCGTTATCTTTTCCGCAGTCGTTTAGTGCCGTATTCGGTCGTCCTCGTGTGGCCGAACGGTCTATATGACACTAAACAGTAACGCAAACGACCGTTTTCGTCCTTGTGTGGCCAGGGCATTATTTGCTGAAACTTTCTGAGCCTCTTAACATACTGGGGACACCTTAATGTATAAAATACATTCAATTTGCATATTAGGTGACCTTTAAGTAAAATGTTGAGGTATACTTGTAACAGAGTATTATTACACTCTGGTATTTCTACTTTGACTCAAGTACAAGATCTTCGTACTTCTTCCCGCTCCGCTCACAGGCCTAATTGTTTATACAGAACATGTTCAGGTGCTGTAGACATAATGCTTTGAAGGGTTTATCTTTTAAAGCGGTGAAATACAAAGAGCTCTAACTGTTGACTTAAGGCTTCGTTAGTATTGCATGGATTTATTTGGCAAAGGCTTGAATGTAACATTGGCTCAGTGTTGGAAGAAGATACTTTACTTAAGCAAAAGTACAAATACTATAGTCTTAAAACACACTTCTAGTAAAATCCCTGATTACAACATGAAGTGTCATCTTGTGAACTCTTGTTTCTTTAGGTGCAGTTTCTGAGCCGAAGCTCTCAGTAGTTTCAGCTGAGGATGGGAAAGTGACTCTGCAGTGTGAGGCTGACTGCTGGTTCCCAAAGCCTGAGATCACATTTATTGACGCTCATGGAAATATCATCAGTGATGAAAACCCAAAGACTCCTATCGACTTCAAGAGGGGTTGTTTCAACATCAGAGGGAGCGTGACGGTGCAGGCTGGCAACAGGTTACATTTCAGCTATTTTATATCATATGTTTATAAAGTGGGGTAGGAATGAGTCCTTAAACCCAGAAATGAGTTTGACCACTTCCAGTCTCAAAGTCAAGGTTGACAATAAGGTCTATGTTTGACACAAGTTTAAGAGATTTAACGTTTTGTTCTAAGACATAAAATACATCAGTAAATACCCATCTGGGGAATTTTTTTATTCTATTGGTCCAAAAAACAAAGGTTGCTAACAAGTGTCTAAATGAGACGACTAAACATCATCACGCCCATCATTAGCCGCCTTTAGCTTAGTGGTGGTGAAGTCATGTGACTGTTCTGTAGTTCCTTTATAGCTTAACGTAAGCTTTGTACTTCTAGCTTTTTTTTTTCAATGCCATGCGATCTACCCACACTACCTTTGCGATCGACCGGTCGATCACGATCGACGCATTGGGCAACCCTGCTCTACATGTATCATTGAAAACAATCTAAAACCAAACTATTTTCATTACAGGGTCACCTGCAGAGTTCACCAGGACGAAATAAACCAGACGAGAGACACAGAGATTTACATACCTGGTAAGATTGAGCTTTAACGCAACTCCCATATCATATTTATTGTACACACAGTTGTTCTATAAAATAGGGCAATAATCAAAATAATATGTTCTGTATCTTTTGGGTTTGGATTTGTTGGGGGGATTATCATAATTGCATGGCCGCTTTTCCAAGTACGATCATTTTTCTCTAAGTTTGTCTTGCTGTTTCCAGATGGTAATGTCTGTATCGTTACTAGAATGTTTCGATCCAAGATAATTTCCTTAAATGTATTTCATGCACATATTTGAGTGTCCAATTCTCCCTAAATCAAATTCTTCGAGGGTCTAAAGTGTCTAATTTGGCATCATATAATATACCTTTTTATTTTCATTTCAGATGAATTCAAGACGTCCTGTACTCCACTCATCATCATTGCTGTTATAGTACCTATCATTTTATGTGCAATATGTGCCTTCCTATACACGACCGGTTTCATCTCTGGTAAGTTGGAAACACTATTTTACTAACAGGAGAACCTTTGATTGTCTGCCTCTGCAAAATCCCAAGTTCCCACGCTTTAACTCCTTAAGATTCCCAGATTGCATCTGATTGACAATAAAAGCCTTTTCACCAAAATAAAAGTGTTGATAAACAGCTTTTAATGAGAACGAAACACTGGTGTTAAGTTGAATTGAAAAGGCAGTAACGGTAAATTAATACAGCATATCAGGAATCATCTTCATATTGTATTTATTTTCAGTTGGAAACTGTATGTCAGTATTGTTATGTTTGAAGGACATTTTGTTGTGCTTTTATACAGTGGGGGACAAAAACTGCTCTCTACGTAAGCAACACACCAAGGTGCCACAAACAGAAGAAGATGATGACAACGGGACAAAACAGATTGATGAGCTTCAGAGGAACATCTCTGACCTGGAGTACAAACTTAACCAAGAGATCGAGATCAACAGCAAACAAAAAGAGGAACTGAAGGACTTTAAATCCAAGCAGAGTCCTGTGGTTTTTCATGACCAGCATACGATTGTTCACATTCCTTCCCCAGATGTCTCAAAACCCCTGAAAACTCAAAGCAAGTTTCCCGACGACGACAATCCAACACCAGCAGCTTCAACCAACAACAACCATCAAAGATCTGTCAGTTTACCCCAGAACAAAGACGTCCCAACACACATCCCTGCGTGCCCTCAGATCCAAAGAGGCAAACATAGCCACAGCAGTCCTGCTCTTTTGACCAAAAATGATGAAGTGTCCCCCAGTTCTCCTTCAGCCTCCTCTGCCTCAAAGGTTCAGCGTTCGAGGTGCATGTCCGAGTCTGGATCACGTTCAAACGGTGCCAGACCTCAACGTAGAAACACCTTCTCCTACCCATTTCCGTCCGTTAACCGCTTCTCTCCTCTGGCAAATCTACCTGAAGATGATTCCATGGCGCTGCTTGAATGAGAGCAGAGCATGTTGTGGTTTTTCTTCAGTATAGGAAGAGATCAAAACAAGTGGTCAGTGATGGAGAAAGTACTTAAAGTAAAATGAGTCGCACCAAAGTGCAGAAAAGGAAAAAACATGCATTGATGATTTCACTCTAGTCAAAGTATTTTTAAAATACCAAAAATAAAAGCACTTATTGTGCATTTTTTTATATAATGTTGGCCAAATCATATCACTATATAATATACTTACAACATTTAAATGTGGAGCTAACTTTTTTTTTTGTATTAGTAAATATGGACTTTTCTTGTAGTAGAATAGAAGTATAATGTTACTTAAATAGGAAATACTTAATTAGTAGTAGTAGAACCTTTATTTATCCAGGAAAATCAATTAAGAACAAATTCTTATTTACAATGATGACCTGACAGGAGGCAAAGGCTTCCTGAGGGGATGGGGTTTGGGAGGAAAAATAAATAAAAAGACAGACTCCGGGCACTACAGAACCCAGGAGACAACACAAACACATAGAGCAAAGATGACAGGCATAGCAGTTAACCATATAACAACTCTAAAACAATATTGCTGTGGTTCAATCAGTCATTAAAATCAGCATCAGGCAATTAAAATACTGTTATTGGTAAATGTAGTTAGTTACTTTGGTTTGGTGGGTTTTGGCATTACAGATGTTTACAAACATTGTCATTTATGGGTTAGGGTTACTTGTTTAATACTCAGGATTTTACAGTGTTTTTATGGTAATTATTGTCTTTTTGTTCACAACTTCTCCACATTTCGAAGTGTTTCACGAGCCAGAACGACCTATCTTTCTTCCTGGCTTGCTCTATAATGATCCAATTAAAATGCAATACCAACAACTCAACACAACAACGTAAACTACGACAACAACCCACACATTGTGCATTGTTTAGAGCGGTTATAAAGTGTTGAAGCGCTCAAATTCGAAACTGTTTCAACCTGTCACCTGTCAGAATCGAGACGAGGCAGTGCATTGAATCCATGGATGTATAGATTGAATCGCGTGAATGGACCGCGAACCAGTGAGTTGATTCATTCAGGAAATGAAGCAGTTGCTGCTTCGGACGTCACATGTCACGTGATTTGAAACAAGCTTCGAAGCACTGCTTCTATGGAATAGAAGAAGTCCAGGGTTGAAGCTCCGTTCGAAGCTTCAGTGTCAAACTGCCATCACTAGTATTTGGACGTTCTGCCTCTGCCTCCTTACTTGGTCGGGCCGCTCAACGGTCAGTCTCACAATAACATTTTAATGCGTTTTATTACCGATGACATCAAGTCAAACGATTTAAAACCTTGAACTAAAGATAAAGAGCACCCCCTTGTGGAAGAATCTTGATATTGCTTTTTTATTTCTGTTCATTCATTAAAATGTGATTTTACCTCAACCTGTGTGTGTGAGGATCTTAAATTATTGTTTTTGAATGCTGGGAAAAATGTCTGTCTCATATGAATTGTTCAAATGTATTTACTTTCATTCACCAGTTGTTTGTAGTGATGTGTCGGACGGGATTCTTTTGAGCGGCTCTTTGGTACGAACGAGGGGAACCGAGTCGTACTTGGTGAGAGCCGTTCTTTTTATCGTTCCATCGTTGGTCCGCACTCACTGCCTGCCAACATTCACTCGCCTTTTAAAAAGCTTGATTTGGTTCCCCAAACGTATTCTGTGAAGACCCGGCCCTACTCTGGTATGGTTTCAGCCATAGGTTTCAGCACGAGGAGTGAGATGGGGTGGGTCTTAACGGAATACGCGAGAGAGAGATAAGTCATAACAAGTGGTACAGGACAGGTAGACGATGTGTTTCTTGGATGGAAAATGAGCCAAACGCGAAAACGCAGCAGCATTTGGATGCACTTCAACCAAAACCCAGGCTGTGATAAAGCGCACCATTTGTAAAGGCAACATATCCTTTAAAGCAGGGCCAACAAATAATCTCCATCGTCACTTAAAAACACAGTATCTAATATTAAGAGTTGCGTGAATTTCATTCAAGGCAAGGCAACTTTATTTACTGAACACATACAGATGGTCAATTCAAAGTAGTACATTCACTGACATGAATGACATGGATATGGCGCCACCTTGTGTCATGTTTACAATGCAGATTATTGACATTAGATCTGGAATACAGTCAATCATTATCCTGGTGATTATTTCGCAGATAAACCTAGTGACCCCGCCCCCTCTTTGAAAGGAACGGTGCCATAAGATCCGGCCCCCTTCAAATAGCCATGATTCCCATAGTTGTTTGCTTCAGACTTTACAGCCACAGTGTATTTATTAAACCATCCTGTATCTCTACTGCCTGCTTATCATCCTCTGTAATGGGTTGTAGGAAACTGTCCTTTTAGCATTTCCTTTAAATGTCAATGTTTGTACTTCATACACTATAAAAAAGGGAACTCTGTCAATAGACTTTGGGAAGTGCAGAACATCGGGACATGACAAATATGTCTCGTTTATTTATTGATCGATCCTGACTTTTTAAATCAATCTTCTATTCAGACTATTTGATTTTCTGATTGCTTTACCACATAGCCAGAGGCTGATAAGGGGTGTTTATGTGTTGTAAAGAATGAGCTGCCTTGTTTAATGTTGTTTATTTAAAATGTGGAAGTAGATGTGTGGTACTAAATTATATTTTTGGATGCATAAAGTAGAGGGTTGTAAGCAAATTATAAGATGTCCATTAAACATTGAATGCAAGCATACAATAAAATGATAGTTTTCACTAAAAGTTCTGTATTTTGAATGTTTTCAGGTATTTGAAACCATGAATCTCCATGAATCTGAGGATGAAGAGTTCATTTAATGTGAAAATGTTTCTTCTTTTCACACCACTTTAAAGTTATTCTTGGATCAGCGTGAACACTTGAAAGTCGCAAAACAATGACTTGGTCCAAATTCTGCTATTATCTGATACACAATACCTGATATGATATTGACTTTCTAAGCACACTTCCCATAAGAAGACTATACCGGCACCAGTATTTCAAATGTGGGCACCAGGGGGCACAATAAGACGATGTAATACATTTTAAAACAGCTACTGCACTGTACAAACTGTGACCAATAGTTACTTATAAAAATGGTGGCAACAAAGTGACAATTAATATAATTAAATAGATTTGAATCACAACAATTTGATTAGAAAATACTGAACAAATTAAGTTTATAAAACACAATTATAATAAGTAAATGTGTGGAATTTATTCATTTTGATTGAGTTTGTATTAACCAATTATTTGAACAAACCACCAAGCATATATACAGCAGGTATATTTATGTGTGCAGAATCTAACAAACAACAACAAAATGTTCACCAACATTTAAAAAATGTTAGAAAGAAAACAAAAAAAGGAAATCCTATAATGGCTATAGGAGAACAGTCAGGACTTTAATGCCTTCCACCATAATAATAATAATACATTTAAGTTTTATAGCGCTTTTCCTGGTGCTCAAAGACGCTTTACATAACATCAGAAACAGTACAAAGAATGTACTGGTATGCCCCCAACACTAACGCAGGTTTTAGGCCTATAGGTCCAGTCATTGTTTGACATGTTTAATGTGGAAATGTTACCCACAACAGATTCAGTTGTAACATCTGTTACTGCAAGAAGGACCGACTCACCATTGAAGTCGCAGCAAAGGGAAGGCCCGGATAGGCCCAGATCCAATCAGGATATGTATTTGTATTGGTGTAAATCCTGGCCAATGAAAAGCCTGGAATATCAGATCAGTGTGGGCGGGGTTGAACTTTGGACTTTTGTGTGTTTTTTAAAGTTGAAAATGTTTGGTTGCTCGCTGCTGTGAAATGTTTGCAGCCGTAGAAGATCAACAATAAACCGGTGTAATTAAACATATGATGGAACTACGGGAGAAATGCACGGATCAGTGAGGAATTAGCATGCACCCTTAAATGAAGATACAAGTGAAGTTTAATCACGGATAAGCTTGAGTTTAAGATATGATATCACTCAAGCTTCCATTTAGGCATATTCCTGTAGAGTGGAACCAGTGGAGAGCCTCGTTAAAAGGACCCAGCACTGGCCCTAAATTAACTTTAACTCTGTCTTTGGCACATTAAATCATCTTCATTATCACCTCCAAACGTCATGCACCTTGATGTAAAACGACCTAGTAATAAATACTAGTTTTATACCCGCCGTGGCTGCATGATGACAAACAGATTACTGTACCTCATGAATACTTTCGCAGTGTGTAATATAGTGTGTTTGGGTGTGGTTGTTTACTTTGGCTTTGTTCTGTCATTAGAAATATGTACTTAAGGCTTCGTTAGTATTGCACTCACCTCTGCCACTATTGTTTATTTTTTCTTTCTTTTTTACAAGTCTTTTTATTTCATTATAGTGTACAGTAATCGATGCCATTTCATTTATATTGTAATATCACAGTACCACAGTACACTCACTATTGTTTCTAATGTTGTAATGAACTGCTGATATAGCCTTTTGATTAGTTGATTCAAGGAAATAATTAAGTTTCTTACGTGTTCGTTTCTCCTTAGGCAAGGCACGTTTTATTTATACATTACCTTTCAACACAAAGTGCTTAAGATAATTAAGAAGCAGTGCAGTTGAAATACATTATAAAATGGCATTTAAAAACAGTCATTTAAAAGCATAAATCATTAAAAAAAAACATTAACAATAAAAGAATATTAGTCTAACATTTTTTAAGATTTTCCCGCATTAATCTTTGTCCTTTAAACCTTATTAGATTTGGGTTGGCGTGCTGACCATGGGACATTTTCTTCTAACAAATAATACATAAAGGTATTAAATCCTGCCCATTGTGCACCTCAGTGTAAATCGACTGCGTCATCCATCCATGGCCTCTGTTTCAGGCACGCGGTGGCTGCAAAATGACAACACTAAATAATGAGGCAATGTGTTGGCATGCAGCCAGAACTATGTTATCGTTTACTATGTTGTTGTGAGCTGCTGTTAATGACCTGTTCATTTGAAAGAAGTGTTTCAGTTTGAAACGTGTTGGTTTCACCTCAGTAGATTTGGGTTGGCGTGATGATCGTGAGGATTTAAAATAGACTATAAAGGCTTTCAATCAGAAATATTTTTATTTGTCCCGCAACGGCGAAATGTACAGTGTATGGGCATAGATATGTCTCATAATTATTTGTGTGAACATAAAAATAATTTGTGTGTAAATATGTGATTTGTAAATTTAAAACAACATCCACAAATGCATTTAAAAGATTTGCAAACTCACAAATACATTTGCAAGTGTAAAACGGATCTGCAAATACGCTAAATATGTTCACAAATAAAAAAAGATCTGTGAATATCTCTTTAACATTTACACCTTTCGATCAGGCATTTGTGAATCCATTTTGTATTTGTGGACCAAAAATGCGCTTGCGGGTCTCAAATCTCTGTTCGCGGATCTCAAATCTCTGTTCACGGATCTCAAATCTCTGTTCGCGGATCGTCTGTTTACACCTATAACCTAACATGATGATGATGGTGATGGTGATAAAGAATGCATCTGACGTTCCGCTGTTCATTATAATACAAAAACAGAGCATTAAACAAACCATCATGCTCTTACTTTGAAATCATGCGGAAATGTCGTCATCAGCGGGCCATCACGTGGTTTCCGAAAATAACCGAGTGACACGAGTAGATTTTAGCCGAGACCGGCGGAAAATATGTCTCAAAATTCCGTGTGTGTAAAAAGCAACCTGATCTCACCAGAATGCGTGACTCCACCACGCAACCTTAACACCGCATTGCGTGGTGGAGTCACGCATTCTGCTACATTTACGTGTCGGCACCACGCAAAAAACCCCAATGTAAAGTGAATGAGGCTCTTTTGTCGTGGTGCACACACGCATTTCTACAACGTCCCGCAGTGAGCTTTTATTCTATACAAATTTAAATCTACTTTATAGCTTGTAGTAACTCACAGGAGGCTTCTTTTATTTTATTTGTATTCATAATAATTTTTATTTGTCGTCAGAATGTATTATGGTGCATTAGTCACACATTTTTGTTCTCAAAAAAACAGTGCATTGTGTGTAATACAACTGTGATTTTTATTAAATTAGTTAGTTTTTAAGGAAGGCCAGAGCTTCAGCTGTGTCAATAGATTGTTCCCTTTAGTTAACGTTATTTAAAAGATAATGATCATGTCCCCTTTATTGTATTACGAGCATCCATTCCCATTGGATAACGGAGAATTTTACACCCGGAAGTAAGTATTCTCCTTACTGTCGATTGATTTTACAGTGATATCTGAACTACTCATCAACTCAAAAACACCAGATTATCCTTGTTAATTACACAACATTGATTGGTTTAAATTGTGTACAATGCTTTTGTATTTTTCCCCTTCGATTCGGAG